GGGGGGGGCTGTGCAGAGAAGGGGGTTTCTCCCTACACATAGCCCTTGGAGGAGGAGGAGGAGGAGATCAAAGAGGAAGGAGAAGGGGTGGGGAAAGCACTAGGAAAACAACCAAAAAACGTTGGAGACCTGGGGGTGGGAGCAGCTCGCTGAGCTCCTGGGGGGGGGTGTCCATGTGCCCCCTCCTCTTATGGCACCCCCCCTTCTCCTTTCTGGGAAGACTTTGGGAGATGGGGGGGTCTCCCAGTTGGAGCCCCTTCCCCAGTTCTAGGGAAGCTGGAGGGCACCACGCTTAGAAACCAGACCTTGGGGGGCCCTGGGCTGGACATGGGGCTCCTGCCCCCTCCCTACGTGCCCCCTTTCTGTGTTCTCCTGCCTGGAGGAATCATGGAATTCTCCATGGGGTCAGAAGGGACCTTCCATCTCCTGGAGTCCCACCACGGACCCAGCACTGACCAACCCACCACTGACCCGTGTCCCTCAGCACCACGTCTGCCCGGCTTTTCAGTCCCTCCAGGGATGGTGACTCCACCACTGCCCTGGGCAGCCTCTGCCAAGGCTTCACAGCCCTTTCCAGGGAGGAATTTTCCCCAGTTTCCATCCCAACCCTCCCCTGGCCCAACTTGGGGCCGTTTCCTCTTGTTCCTTGGGAGAAGAGACCGACCCCCCCTGGCTGCCCCCTCCTTTCAGGGAGCTGTAGAGAGCCATGGGGTCTCCCCTCAGCCCCCTTTTCTCCAGGCTGAACCCCCCCAGCTCCCTCACAAGTTCTCCAGCACCTTCTCCTTGGTCTCCAGACCCCTCCCCAGCCCCGTTGCCCTTCTCTGGACATGCTCCAGCCCCTCCATGTCCCTCCTGTCTTGGGGGGGGCCCAAAACTGGTCTCACCACTCGAGGTGGGGCCTCACCAGTGCCCAGTACAGGGGGACCATCACTGCCCCAGCTCTGCTGGCCACGCTGTTCCTATACAAGTCATGTTGGTGGCCTTCTTGGCCACCTGGGCGCACTGCTGGCTCCTATCCACTCCCTGTTGACCAACACCCCCAGGTCCTTTTCCCCCCGGGGTGGCTTTTTCCCCAAATCTGGAGTGTCTGGGGTGGGGGGGGGTTGATATGACCCAAAGAAAAAGACTAAACCTCTGTCTTTTGTGTCTGTCCCTGGCCCGGGTGTCCCTGCCCCGCAGTCTCGGACGCCGGCCCTGGTCTTCGAGCACGTCAACAACACAGATTTCAAGGTGAGCCCCCACCACCTCTGATAAAAGGGCAGCTCATTTTCTCCCCCGCCACGCTGATTAAAAACCCGTGCTGGAATGAATTAACGAGGCTGGGTTTAATCCTCCGATGGGCCCGGGGATGGGGGGGGGCATGGCTGGTTGTGGGGAGATAACAGGAGGGGGGGGACCCCAGGGACAGGCTCTGGCTCCCCTGCTCCTCCTTCCTTCAAGGTGAGCCCCCACCACCACCACCAACACCTCCTGCATCCCATGGGTTGGGGGGGTCTGGGAGAGCTCCTCCAGGCTCTCATGGTGGGGAGGGGACAGTCCTCTGTTTCAGAGGCACACGGGAACGGCTGGCACCACCATCTCCAAGGGGCTACCAGATTCAGGTCTGTGGCCAGCTGTTTTTCTCCTACATTTCCCAGCCAAGGGAAGAGCTGGGGGGTACAGCGCTGTTGGGCTTCCAGAGGGGTTCCCCACCCGCTCTCGTGGTGGGGAGGGGACAGTCCTTTGTTTCAGAGGCACACAGGAACGGCTGGCACCACCATCTCAAAGGGGCTAGCAGATTCAGGGCTGTGGCCAGCTGCTCTTCTACATTTCCCAGCCAAGGGAAGACCCGGGGGGTACGGCGCTGGCCATGGGGGGGTCATCCATCCCATCCCATCCCACCCCATCCCCAGCTCTCTCTCCTCTCAGCCACGTTGCCCAAGCCATCGTGGGCTTGCGTTGGCGATCTGCTGTTGGCCAATTTGGCCAGCTGAAGGCTTGGATTAGTTGAGGCTCATGTCCCCAGAGGCTGGGCCGGGTGGGAGGAGGATGATGAAGGTGGGCTGTGGGAGTCAGCACCCCAGCAGCCGCTTCGCCTCGTGTCTCCAGCAGTCACCAACGCGTGGAAATCCCCATCTGGCCCGGTTTTTCCCCAATTCTTCTCCCCGAGGCTTGTCCTGGGGGGGTTCCTCCCCACCCTCCAGCTGTTGGGGCGCTCGCTCTCATCCTTACGGGTGGGAATTTGGGGTCTCACTGGGGGGGCTTGGAGCTCCCCCCGTCCCCTCCCGGGTGGAAGCAGGGATGCTCCGGGGGGGGGTTGTCTTCTCCCTGTCAGCCGGCGCTTCCCGGGAGGGGAAATTTGGGCTACAAAGGGTTATAAATGGCTCCAAACCCAGCCCGTGTGTGGTTGACCTGCTCCTCCTCTCTCCTGCCAGCAACTCTACCAGACGCTATCGGATTTTGACATTCGGTTCTACATGTATGAAATCCTCAAGGTAAGCTCCCCCCCCCCAGCCTCCGCGGGGAAGGGCTGGAAAAAAAATCCCCTAATCCCACGGAAAACCCTTGCTCAAGCAAAATCTGACCTTCCCCCCCTGCCCTGAAGGAGCCCGCCCCCAAGCTCGTTTGGCTACTACACCCTGCTGGATCCTTGCCCGGCCGTCCCCACGTGGCAATGGCTCCTTGGGCCGCTGGCGAGGGGTGGCTCGGAGGCTGTGGAGTTACAAGGTCACCCCGTCCTTGGGCAGCAGAAGCCACCTCCTTTTTCTTCCTGGTGTCCTCTCCCAGGACTTCTCTGCCTCTGCTGGGGCCTGCTTTGGGAAGAGGCTTTGGTTGCCCACTGTCGTTGGGGCCGTGGCCATGCTGGAGCTGGTTCAAGTGGGTCAACCAGGGGTCCAAGGGCATGGAGACCCTCTCCCGGGGCATTCCCAGCCATTCCCACCAGCAGAGAGTGGCCAGGATCGACCCCAGTGTCCCATCTGGGAGATGGCAACCTCTGAAGGGGGGCTCCTTCGGCGCCACGTCCCCTCTGGTGGGGCTGGAGGGGGACGTGGGGGTTGCCCCCAAAGCTCTTGGCTTCAGGTTGGGTTTCAGGGGGGCAACGGGGCTCCGGTGTCAATTTTGGTGGCCTCCTCCCAGGAGGAGTGCTGGCCACCAGGGAGGGTCCACACCAGAGATGACCACGTAGGATCTGGGGTAGGTCTGGAGATCCCTGGGGAGGGTTGTCCCATGCTGTGGGGAGGGATGTCACCGCAGGCTCTGTCCCATCACGGCCTTGGGTTCTGTCCTTCCTTGGGCAAGAGAAAGGCTTTCTGAGGACTGTCCTTCTGTCCCCAGGCGCTGGACTACTGTCACAGCATGGGTGTCATGCACCGAGACGTCAAGCCACACAACGTCATGATTGACCACGAGCACAGAAAGGTACGGGCCTGGAAAATGGGGAAAATGCTGCTGGTTCTCCCTGCCTGGAGCTGGGAGGCTGGAAAACATCTCAAATCCCACCAACAACCCAGCACTGACCAACCCCCCACTGACCCGTGTCCCTCAGCACCACGTCTGCCCGGCTTTTCAATCCCTCCAGGGATGGTGACTCCACCACTGCCCTGGGCAGCCTCTGCCAAGGCTTCACAGCCCTTTCCAGGGAGGAATTTTCCCCACTCTCCATCCCAACCCTCCCCTGGCCTAATTTGGGGCCATTTCCTCTCATCCTATTGCTTAGAATCATGGAATTAACCAGCTTGGAAGGGACCTTTCAAGCTCCTGGAGCCCAACCATCAACCCAACAACAACCAAAACCACCATAAACCGTGTCCCTCAGCACCACATTTACCACTTGTCTCCATCTTCTCAATCCCTCCAGGGATGGTGACTCCACCACTGCCCTGGGCAGCCTCTGCCAAGGCTTCACAGCCCTTTCCAGGAAGGAATTTTCCCCAATCTCCATCCCAACCCTCCCCTGGCCCAACTTGGGGCCGTTTCCTCTTGTTCCTTGGGAGAAGAGACCGACCCCCCCTGGCTGCCCCCTCCTTTCAGGGAGCTGTAGAGAGCCATGGGGTCTCCCCTCAGCCCCCTTTTCTCCAGGCTGAACCCCCCCAGCTCCCTCACAAGTTCTCCAGCCCCTTCTCCTTGGTCTCCAGACCCCTCCCCAGCTCCGGTGCCCTTCTCTGGACACGCTCCAGCCCCTCAATCAGTGTCTTTCTTGCCCTGAGGCCACTTGGCTCCTGGCAAAGAGCCTTTGGCCAGCAAGAGAACCAGCCCTTTGCTTCCTCCTCCTCATCCAGCACGGACTCAGTGCCCTCACCCAGCCACCGCAAACCCTTGTGGTTTCTCTGGAAAAGGTTAATTCCACCTGTTTCTACCCAAATCCAGCCTGGATTTGGGCAGGAAAACCTTGCTTTGACGTCCCGACGGGGGTGGGGGGGCGCCCAGTGTGGGGAGGGGGCAGCCCTTTGTTTGGAAATCCAGGGCGACCATAAACCCCCGGCACCTGTGGCCCGTAAATTCCCTTTTATTTGCCACCTGGTTTTGGGGGGGAGAAGAAAGGGGGGGGCTCGTAAATTTAACTGGAGATTTCTCCCGGCGCGTCCGTAGCCCCCAGCCAGCTGCCAGCCTGGACTTCAGAAGGGACTGGGAAGGGGGGAGCTGGGTGTCTCCCCCCCTCTGTGGCTCGGGAAGAGCCTCCTGTGGCTACTGAACACCCCCTGTGGCTACTGAACACCCCCTGTGGCTACTGAACGGCCCGGGTTGGCCGTTATCGGAGCAGGAAGGGGCTGAGTCACACACACACACACACACAAACACACACCCACACACCCACTGTGCCCTTTGAAATCTTCCCTCCTCCGTGGTACCGGCTGCGTTTCCGGGGCTGAGTCTTTCCTTCTCCCCAGATTTAGTGTTGAACCCCCTGGAGATGTCCCAAATCTCCCTTTTCACCAGAATTCAGGCAGCAGCCAAGTGGGAAACCCACCTTCAGTGTGGTTTTGGGTCAGAAGGGACCTTTAAAGGCCATCGAGTTCCCCCCTGGGCAGGGACACCTCCCACCAGCCCAGGTTGCTCCAAGCCCCCTCCAACCTGCCCTTGAACCCCTCCAGAGATGGGGCAGCCACAGCTTCTCTGGCCAACCTGGGCCAGGCTCTCACCACCCTCACACCAAAGAATTTCCTCCTCAGATCTCACCTCAATCTCCCCTTTTTCAGCTTAAAACCCTTCCCCCTCGTCCTATGGCTCCCCTCCCTCATCAAGAGTCCCTCCCCATCTCTCCTGGAGCCCCTTGAGGGACTGGAAGGTTGTTATAAGGTCTCTCTGGAGCTGGAGATGCTGGGAGATGCCTTCACTGGAAGGGGCTCCAAGGTCTCCCCGGAGCCTTTTCTTCTCTGAACCCCCCCAACTCTCTCAGCCCCCCCTCCCAGCAGAGGGGCTCCAGCCC